AAGCATGAATCCACATTGACAAAAAAACTCTAAAATAACAAAGCACGAACAGCCCATTGAGAAACGGCCTGGTTTTCATAAATTACATGTTCTTAAAAATATAGGTTTGCTTGAAAAACAATAATCCTCTTCATTGGTCCCTTCATTCTGTGTCTTCCCTCGCACTTTAATAACATTGAAATTGGTGACTCGATGGACTTAAGGTTGTGGCCGTGAGGTGACGTAAGCACGAGTAGGCAGCAAAGGCGGGGCTAAGAACATCTGTGGTCGTGGTTGTGCTGCTGCATCGTCGTGCGTGAGTGGCGCTGTGACTCGTGGTGCTTGCTCGGGTGGACAAACCTCGGACACTTGGTTTTGTATAATGTGTTCTAGTGCAGAAATGCGTGGCTTATTTAGCTCTGGCAGGCTAGGAATCAGCGAGAGTTGGTGAGGTGCTTCTTCGCGTACACAAGCTTTCTTCTGTGTGAAAAGAGTGGGCTCTTACGAGGGAGCTTTGCAGGACAACTATTGAATAAGAGGACTTACCTTTGTTAACCCTTTTCGGCCCTGCTGTCGTCTATTGAAGACGCCACACAAAATTTCTCCTAGAACCTTGAAAACATATTAAAGCCCACTGAATCTCGAAGAAGTATTTCTTGAACTATCCCCATTGCTATCTACATTACCGCTATTTCGATTTTGCGCAGCATCCCATGGAGTCGTAAAGAAAAAGAATCTGGAAGGAGATCGTTGGGAACAATGATGGGGGCAAGAAGAGGCGGGAAAGCGGCACTATTGGGTTAAAGTCCTGAACTCTTTTTACGAGCTCCAACACTTTGACACGCTACGTTTGTTCAGATTTTGTGTACTCTGGCACATCCAGCAATAAATTTTTCGATTTTGTCAATTTTTAACTATAGGGCCAAGAAAATCTACTTTATTGTCATGACTGTAAATTCATAAATACTTACACTAGTCACTAAATTTTTCGTTTTTGGTTTTTGAGAACCTAACTATAAGCAAAATATGTACTAAGAATGTTTCTGACAAAAGCGAAAATTCCAGAGCTAAACGGATTAAAGAGAAATCATCCCATCAAATGACAAGCCACCTTGTCAAAGGCACTTCCTTTGTTCATTTTGATTATTCCACAGAGTCTTGAATAGTATAATATATGACGGGAAAGAATAGAAGGAGAGTTAAGGTAAAATATAGAGGGTAATACACAAATTCATGTGCGTTGTGATGAAGGCATTACCATGTACAGCATAGTAATGTATATCAATGTGTAACATAACAATGTGTTGTAAATAAAAATGAGGATGAGAATAAGTAAAAAGGAAGATATTTTATGAGGAGGTGTGAATTGCTAACAAAGAAAAAGGGGAAGAGAGCAACTAGGAGATAACAGGGTATCACTACGCATCACAAGTGAAGCTAGCCTTTCTCGTCATGCCTAACCAGTGGGCTACCCGTTTAAAACGCCAACAGTATAGTTGAAAGCTTTCACGTTGAGTGCTACAACACATATTTTTATTGTCAGTACAAAGTCAGCAAAATATATCTAAAACACATGATCCATTGGTTGTTAGTTGTTCGAATAACGTTTTTTAGCACGCCACAAAGCACAAACCAAAATGTAAAGTGACCCTGACGCTTTAATTAGAGCTTTAAAACAGGCACTCGTACTGACAGTGTGGTGAACCAGTTTATAATTGAGCACCAATTGTTTTTGAGGCAAAGCTCCTTAAGTCGGGGGTCATGCATCCGCAATGTATGTAGTAGTGGTAGCAGCAGCAGTAGTAGTAGTAGTAGTAGTAGTAGTAGTAGTAGTAGTAGTAGTAGTAGTAGTAGTAATAGTAGTTGTAGCAGCAGTAGTAGTAGTAGTAGGGGTAGTAGTAGTATTAATAGTAGTAGTAGTAGTTAGTTACCTCCATGGCCCGACCAGAAAAGCGGCGGGCGCGCGCTTGTTTGAATGGAGGAAGAAACACGCATGCGTTAATCATAAATAAAAAGATAGTTCTTTTGATTGAAATCTATGGCCTACAGAGACAACTATTGGTGACTTAATCGCCAGTAAAGTTTGCCTTGAATTCGATGCTTACAAAAAAAATCTAGTAACAGAAGGATGCACTTTCAGCTCTATCTGACCACAAAAGGTTACCGCGTTAAACTCGCTGGGTGTAACCTCCTTGGTTTTAGCTAGGTTTAGCGATTGTTAGGCTACAGTTCCATAAATTAGAGGCAGTGAAAGGTGGGACCTAGACACGAAGCGCAGGCCGTAAGAAGGTCTGGCCGTGCCTCTAGTCCTCTAGTCCGGCCGTGCCACCTGTCGCTAAGTCTTTGGAATGACCGCTAGATGGCGTACTTTATATAATGAATATATGACGAAAAGATGCGAGATGGCTTGGAGTGTTCACTAGAAGTACGGACAAATAGACGGACGCACGGACGAACAGACAGATGCACGTACGAACGGACACATGCGCGGACGAATGGACGAACGCGTGGATAGACGGATGCATGGACGGTCACACAGATGGACGCACGGATGGACGTACAGATGAACGCATGGACGGACGCATCGATGAACGGACGTACGCACGGAAGGACAGACGGATGCAAGAACGGATGCATGGGTTGACGGATGGATGCACAGCTGGTCGCAAAGACGGACGCATGGACACACGTATGGTTTCAAAGACGGACGCGCAGATGAACGGAAGCAAGAACGAATGGGTGGACGGAAGCGCGGACGGACTGACGGGCGCTTCGCCCCACATCATCATCATAGACTCCGTGGATATTTTGTGATTTTTTCTACCTGAACCTTGTGCTATTTCACACTGCCGCGAGTATCAGCTCAACTTTCGGCATGCGATGATTTTAGGGGTGAAGCTTCTTAAGCTATGAGTCGTGCGTCTGCCATGTATGTAGTAGTAGTAGTAGTATTAGTCTTTGTCGTAGTAGTTGTAGGTAGCCATTTCCATAGCCAGACTAGAGCAGCGGCACGCGCGAACTTTTCTGAATCGAGGAGGAAACCTGCGTACGCTAATCATAGATAAAAAATTGTCGTTTCTGATGAAACAGCCTACAGAGACGAGTATCGGTGACTTAATTTCTAATAAATTGTGCCTTGAATTTGACGCTTACTAAAAGAAAACTGCTAACAGAAGCACACACTTTGAGCACTGCCTAATTAGAAAAGATTTCTCCGTTAAACTCGCTGGCCTTAACCTTCTTGATTTTAGCAAGGTTTCACTTTGTGGTCATGCGTAGATTTTTACTTCTTTTGGCCCAAGGGATGGCTTTCAGCTCTCCCATAGAAGAGTACCCAGCACTCTAAATCATTAAGCACTTTTTCCAAACACAGGTTTAGTGAGGGTTGGGCCACAGTCCCATGAACTAGCGGCGGTGAAAGTGGGGAACTAAACATGAAGCACACGCCAATATGGAGTTTTAGAATAGCGCACCGCGAGCCCTTGCGGTGCGGTCACTGCCACTGCGCATGCGTCGTAACGCGAGTCGGCGTTCGCGTTCGCGGACCGCACGCAGAAAATCCGCAATTGCGTTTGGTGATGGCAGCCCACATGGGGCCCGCAAGCGCTGGTTTCGAGGCTACGGGCGGTGATGGCGGCCCGCATGTGGCCCGCATGTGGCCCACAAGCGCTGGTTTCGAGGCTACGGTGTCACTGCGAAAGTGCGCTGCGGTTCGCAGCAGGGCAAACGCTATTCTAAAGCTCTTATGGCGCCCGCAACGCCTGCAGCGCTCGCAAACGGTATTATAAAACTCCCTATTAAGAAAGTGCGGGCGTGCCGCTCCATTGGTCCTGTCGTGCCACCTCTCATTTTGTCCTTCGAATGTCCGTTGGATGGTGGTACTTCTATATGATGAATAAATGATGAAAAGATGCGTGATGGCGGTACTTGGAGTGTTCACTAAACAGACGGACAGACAGATAGATGCATGGACGGATGGATGGATGGACGTATGAACGGAGGAACGGACGGATGGACGCACAGATGGACGCATGTATGGACGAACACATGGACAGACAGACGCACAGACGGACGAACGCACAAACGGACGGTCACATAGACGGATGCACGGGTGGACGGAAGAACGAACGGAGGGATGGAAGGGTCGAGGGACTGAAGGATGTTTTGCCCCACTCATCATCATGCCCTCCGCGGATATGCTGTGATATTTTTGTGATGGCGCCATAGTAGGATAGGGGAAAATTATGTCACATGGTCTGCGAAAAATTATTATCGGTGAAGCTATTAGGGCGTCATACGATACGCCATCACAGCGCATTATCCAGTGATGTGACTTTTTCTATCGCTCGTGTGTAAACCACTGGCGCCGAACATGACATTTATCTTTTCATGAAGCATTAAAAACTTTCAGCTTTATGTAACGCTTAGCTTGAACCACAGCCATTGATTTATGGTCAGTATGCTCAATGGAATGTCAGAGACCACTTACCAGAGGGGTTTTATCTAGTGCGGTACCGCCACGTGCTACAATTACGCTATAGCAGCGTACAGCGCATCGGAGTACTCGCTCTGTGACTTTCATTATTTGTCAGGAAAGCTAATTGCCCCTCATAATATTTATGTTATATTCCCAGCGTCATATACATCCAGTAGAATTGATAATTTGACACATATTCATCAAAAGGCTATTTAGGAATATACTGGAAACCGCAAGTGCAGGTGCTCAACTGGTAAGATTACAAGCTAAAATAGTGAGCACTTGTGGCCTCAAGAGAATGGGCAGCACATAGTTAGTGACAAGTAGTAACAGTTGTTTCAGTAACTGATGAGCAGACATGCATTAGTAACCGTGATAGTTTTTAGTTCCTTAGTTTTAACACCAGCCGTCATTCAGTCAAGAAAGAATGATATCCAAGTCACACCGAGTGAACGCGGCAACAAAAACAGACAATATGGTATACGTTGGCAAATATTTCCTGAGGCTTCCTTGGCGGCATATTTTATTTGCAACGTGGTCTTGTGTATATGTTCTTCTTAGGTGAACCACCCAATAGCCTAACAAATTGTAAACACCAGTGTAAAGTTATAATACCTATAGTAAGCACAAGAATAGTTTTCTCTGAAGCTTTCAAGAGTGGCTAAGCTCCTTCCTGTCTTTCCTGCTATTCCGCTTCTCTTAATACCTCTTGATTTGAGGGGGCGGATGACAGTCGAACTCGCGCTGAAGAGTGGAGTTCCTGTAGGTGTTGCGTTGGTGCGGCTGAAATTGGCCGACTGAAATTGAAGAGAGCAGAGAGTAATCAAAATCACAGCAAATGCCTCCAACAATACGATATGAAAAACATAGTTTCACTGCCTTTAGTTGGCCTCTGATTTCTTATAACTTACTTCTCATAAAACATTCATCATAAAATTTAAATTACACGTTACAGATGTTACAACAGCGTGTTACGAATTTGGAACATATGTTTGTATATACAGGATGGCATGTAATTTATTGGGGACCAAAGGGAATGTCCGGTACACAGCGTGCAGTAGACACGCTATCTTGCCTAATAATGTCGAGCATTGGCTGTATAAGCGAAAGGCTGCACGCAAAAGCTTCACAAAAGCTCGAAACACAAGATGGAGCAAGATACAACTGGATGATAATATTATTAGGTGGTGATTTACACCCCAAAATCATTATATGAATATGAGACGCTGTACTCGATGACTCCGAAACATTTTGCGCTCTTGTGTGATTGAGGCTAGCTTGATAGAGTAGTGCATTCTACGGGGAACCTTAAAGGTCGTTCAGCAAAGCAGGATCATTGTATACTTCAAAGTAAAACACGACGAAGATGAGGTAAAAGCATATAAAGTCAATCATCGGTCGGAACATCAAAACTGCCCTACGAAGTACGTTCACACTTAAATATCTGCAGTGCTTTCTGAATGAAAGAGAACAAAATCACGAATAAAGCCCTAAGATATACTTGAAATAATAGAAGCTGGAAAAGAATTCATACCACAGTTGCATTTGCAAGGAGAATTCCCCACACAAACGGCGAGGCACTCGCTTTCCCATGCTTCCGCACACCTTTTAGATGCTTGCACTGCATAAAAATTAAGGTGAAATGTGGTTATCAAAAAGCCTACCGATTTCTATCTGAATATATTTGAGTTTCAATTTTTATTTTTATTTGCCGGGTGCTTTTTTGAAGCAGTATGTTGCCGTTTCCGAAGCTGCTGGACATCGCTTCCGGCCTTAATGCCATATAATATAGAGGATGCTATATTATAAACTTCGACTGTTTGGGAACATTTTCACACAGAATGTACCCACTGAGGATGGCAACTTCATTGCAGTTCCACAAAGTTGATTTAACGTTTTTTTTAGAATTGGCAAAATCAGCCGTATTCAGTTGATCAATTCAGGCCAGTGCCCTTTTATTTGCTCGCCAAACGTCTACTCTGGTTACCTCTCATTTCGTGTTGTCAGAGCAATGAAGATAATTACGTAACGCGGCAGCATAAAGACGTAAAAGAAACTTGTACGAATAAGAAATAAAAGCCTAGCGCTTAGAGTTCGGAACAAATCGTGGGTGCTGGTGTCAGCGATCAAATCAGCACAAATCGATCAGCTTGTTATCAAGCACATGGCATTAACTAGGAATTTTGGACTTTCTAAAGCCAGCGGAGCTGTTGTGGTTTTTGGTAGGCGTTTACAGAAACTTCTATCATTGCGAAAGGCATTGTGAAAAGGACTTGATACACTAACGCATATAATAGAAAGAAAGAGACCGAGAATGCTAGACAAAAAACAGAAACTGAAGGATGGCAAGATACACAATCAAAGCACGTGGGAGAAATCTGTGGACAAAAAGAGATATAAATCAAGTGATCGTGGTAAGTAGATAGAAAAAAGGGCTAAATAGAAATAAGTAGAAGAAAGACAGAGAAAGTGAGATAGAAAACATGAAATAAAATATAACCACAAGTGCGAATTTAACTTAATACTTTAAATTGAAAGCATTTCATAGCGAAAGAAACTCTCTTCGGGCGTTTCTATACACATATTCATTTACCTAGTCACCGACGTCTGGAAACTATCGTGGTCGTCTCCGTTAGCTGACACGCACCGCAATTTGTATGGGAAGGCGAGGAGCTAGAATAACATGGCGAATAGGTTACTACACTCTACGTCATATCGGTATAGCACGTGAGTGAAACTTGTCCTTACAGATGTAGTTGAATATTTAGTGTACATTTGTATAGGAGGGCCTTCACAAGGTCTGCCGATATTGCACAGATATAGCGCCTATTAATGAGAACACACCCACGTTGACGCTTTAAAATGCATCTACATTGCGACGACCAGCATTCACGATCAGTCATAAAACAAACCTTGGTGGTCCCAGCTGCTTGTGGTAGCTGTGATAGTTGATGGTCAGAGCGGAATCAGATAAAGGGGGTAACAGCCAGGTTAGCCGTCAATAAATGTATGCCGGATTAGGGCTCGTTGCTGAGGTCACCTACTCGCATCATGTTAGAGTATTGAACGCCACTGCCCTATTCGAGAGAAACACAAGGCGCCCTGTGTCTGCGCCATTGGTTGGCCGTGAATTCTTGCCGGGCGAGCGCAACTGGAGGATGCAGAGCTACAGGCAGGTGATACAAAGTCGTTTTTGGTATAGATGAGTGCCATGGGCCAGGCCGACGCAAGGGTTTTTTCGCCACTTAGGGTTGTGTTAATGCATCAACAAAATTCCTGCTCCGTTGTGAACACACAGAATAGGACGGACGCGTAGGCTCGACGCATTCAAAAAGTCGCAGATGTCATTGTCATCTCGCAATATTTCACTATACCAAAAACACTGAGAAAGAACAGTCTTAGATGTAAAAGGCGTGTTTGAAAAGCTTTCATGCAACGTCACCGCGGAGTAGGTAGCATAGCCGGTCTTTGTTGTCATGAACCGAAAGGTTGTGTGTTCTGTTTCTGTTGAGGGAGCCTTTTTTCGTTGCTTTCTGGTCCTGCGTTTACTTTTTTCTCAGTTCCATGACAAAACTTACGTCACGGAAGTCATGATGGAACTTGGCGTAAAACATCTTTGGGTCACAAAATTGGACGATCTCACGTTCTGCAGCAAATAATGATATGCGGAGCATGCACCAAGCAGCATGCTTTGTGGCACTTTCAAAATGAAGCTAACTTTATGAGACGGAGAGATGTAGTACTCAGTAATTAAATGTAGAACATCTGTACGCATTGACGTGTCTAGAAAACGTTCCAACGCGAGAACTGATTACTCATATATAGTTGGGCAAGCATGTCACCACTAACGTGCCCACAACCAGCATCATTGCAGCACTAGAGGCTAAAGCGTTCTTGTATTTCCGTTTTGATCATCATGCGAGGTGTACTGCTGAAACATATGCTGTCTTTTTTACTTGGAGGCAACTTTTACGAGGTGTATTAACATTAAGCTCAAAATTGTGCACACCCTCGCGTTATTAAGAACGTCCTCTTTCCTGGCGACTATGGACCCTGGGTAAATTGTCGTCTGACATTACGTCAGCACTCAGGCTAGAGGACAAACGTCCGTATTATCGAACAATAGTGCGCTTTATGGTGTAGCGATGTAAGTGTCACACGTGCCATTTGTTAGTGTGTTCTCCCGTGGTTAAGAATTGTTTAAATATAACTTTATGAATCATATGAAGGAAGAAAACTAAATTTAGGCGTTCACCTCCTTTCTGAGACACAGCAATGTTGAGAACAATAATGAGAATAACAATTATTCTAAAGTCGTAGGTTCGCATCCTATAGGTGTCAAGTTATCTTTTTGTTTATTTCTTCATATTTATATCACAAGTACTTCTAATACTATACCCTATACTTGTCTTGACGTTATTGTTTGTTACTTTTCATTATGTTGTTGCTTAATCCTATGATACAAATGCTATATTTACCAGTCAACTGTAAGAGTGGATTTAACAGAGCAACCACAACTTCCCTGCCCTCGATATACCCATTTATGCTCAAATTCCAAAAAAAATTCAATTCAACTAGCAACGCTTCGCTCAATGCAGTAAAGATTCGGTATAGGCCTATATTCACGTGCTGCTTTGCATGACATCAACTCTCAGATTATGTGGGATCTACGTAACGTTTATTCAGCCGCATAAAAGACAAATACTGTAATAAGACAAAGACTGTAATAAGACAAACAAGGCTGTTTCATGATGCTTGTGCATCATTGTACTTACTGCATTTGCATTGACAGAAGCCAGGCCTCGTAAAGCAGCTGGCTTGGCAGCCACTGCTGCACCGAGGCACATAACAAGGGACGTCCTCTGAGAATGAAAAAAAAACGCCATCTTTATTATTCGGTTTTTGTGTAAGTCTTAAAGTACGTCTTTTTTATGGACCATTTCGAAAAAAGAATATTTTAAACGTTGATCGACGAACATGAATGTTTATATTGCCAAGTTGCATGCAGTAGCATTGAAAGTTGGGCTATTGACATTAGAAAAAGCATGCAATGACATGTATGCTTTGTCTGGTTGCGTAGAGACTCTTTCTTGTCTTAGTAGAATGGCTGAAAGCAAATAGTTTCAACGTATAGTATGTCTTTTACGTCCTCTTTTCCTTTTCGTGCAACTATTATTTGGCTCTTTGAAGTGATTTTATTAATTGCACCATGGAATCGACGCCCGTGAGAGTAATTGTATTTGGACAGTGATTTCTGTCAGCATTCCATGTTTTGCTTTGCTTGATGCTTCTATTAATGCACTCAAATGGTCTATCTAGGACACTGTTTACGTGCAATACAAAAATATTTCTATTTACTCAGCCTAGTTTCACTTCTTGGCTTCAAAGACAGTAACCAAATTAGGTGGGCTACGCAGCAATATCAAACGCAGCCACAGCGTTATTTACACTAATTTTATTTACAATAGTGTGAAACAATGCATGACCATATTTATACAACTATGTCCACGATGCCTAGCTGTTATGTAGTAGTACCATGGCACGCGTAAATATGTTCCCAAGTTTCCTGATTTTGTTAGTTTTGTTCTTGTTTTTTATGACATTGCTAAATTTGAAATACTGTAAAACAAGTACAGACGTTCTCAAATGAAGTTTCTAATTATGTTCTTTGTTAAAATAACAGCCGTCCAGTTTTTGTTATTTGCCTTATTAAAATAGTAAAAACGCTATCTTTTTTTACAAAAGCTTTTATGGAATCGCCATTTTGACACATCGTGTAGGGCTAAAATTCAGACGTTTGCTTGTGTAGAAGGCGTAGCATTTGTAGACAACTGCATTCATATTTATTATGACTTATGCTCGCAAGAAGCAATCTTTTATTGAGTGATATTTAAACATATTGACCCAGCCGTGCTTACGTGATTTTTACTATTTCGAATTGGCAAAGAACCAAGTTGTTTCGATATATCGCGCGTCGGGCGTATACTACAGTGCCCCTTCCGTTCTATAGGCGGCGAATTCTTGAAGAATGTTTATTGAGGGATAGCGCTTAAGTAGGGATATAAGTGGATAGGGAAAGACTTAAGCTGAAACCTGGTCATTGATTGAACTTGATGAAGTTATCTGACATTCCACAACCACACACCGGTATACCTTGTTAACTGAGATAGACTAGAAGTCCTTGTAATTAAAAATAATTTTTATTTCAGCTCAGTGACAAGAAATCAATGTGCGGTGCCGAAACATTAAATCGTTTCCTCAGACTAGCTCAGTGACATTGTTTCACCTCAACCAATGTCACACCAGACGAACTTTAACTTTCGTCCAACTCCTGACTACTCGTAAAGTATAAGAACACCCTAAAATTTTCAATCAAGTTCCAATAAAACATCAGTTTGTTAAACACCACAACTTGTTAATTGAAAATCAGCATGAATTCCGTAAAGGACTATCTTGTACCACGCAGCTGGTTGAATTTTATCATGATTTATCCTCTAGTATTGACGAAAATGGGCAAATTGACTGTATTTTTTTATTTCCAAAAAGCTTTTGATTCGGTTTCGCATGCGCTCCTTTTTCAAAAACTAAGAGGACGACGACGAAGTGATTGCTTAGCAGATAGAAGTTTCAGTAGGTGCTCTCTTTTTTCACCTAATTTGAAGTGAACTTCGCGAATATCACATCCGTGTCCATCGGTGATGGACGTGGACCCCCACGGACGTCCGCCAGTTACGGCGGCGTCGGCGGTGGCCGCATCCAGGAAGCGTACGGGACTCTACCACGACTACGACAGCGAGGGCACTCTTGTTTACTCAATGAGCAGCGAAGAGCCTTCTGACGACGACGATTTTAAGCTGGTGCTGAGCCGTAAAGCGAAGAGGCGGAACGTCAGAACATCTTCGTCATCGAGTACGTTGAACGACAGAGTGCCAAGGAGACCCGTGACAAACACTATCCTTTTTGTCCCTGAGGCACCGCACGGTAACATGAAGCGCCTCAACAGGCAATCTGTTTCGGTGATGCTGGAAGGACACGTGCCAAACGAGATCACAGACATCAGAGTGAACACGCGTAAGAACGTATTGGCTATCGACGTTTTGCATGCTGCGGCACTTAATGTACTGCGCAACGTCAACGAGTTGGGGGGAATGAAAGTTTGCTCCTACGTTCCTGTGAGCTCTAACGTCGTCACTGGGGTCATCTACGATGTGGATACTGCCATTCCCAGCTCCGACTTCGATGTTCTGGTCAAACCGGCAAATGAAGCCAGCATCATCGCAAAAGTTGTCCGTTTGGGAAACTCACGCTGCTTGAAGATCATGTTCAAGGGCGACTCTCTTCCTTCACACGTAAAGGTGGGCCATTTTCAGCATTCAGTGCGACCTTTCATACCGAAGCCCTTACAGTGTTACAAGTGCATGAAGATGGGCCACGTGAGAAGCGTATGCGAAAATAGGACGGTGTGTCCTCGTTGCGCGGAAGCCCATTCTGCGGATGACTGCGAAGCAACTACCTTCAAATGCTCGAATTGTCATGGGTCACATGCAGCTTCGTCAAAAGAATGCCCCAAAATCCAAAGAGAAATAGCGGTATGAAAACAAATGGTCAGAGACAATTCGTCGCATCGAGAGGCTGCCAGGACCGTCCGAAAGAGGCGTCATCGTCGCCGCTGTTCATCAAAGAATGCCGCAGACGCTGCATCGAAAGCATCACTCCACCACCCTTCTCTTCCACCGCCCTTGCCTCCCAGACCGAAGGCGGCCAGCGCGGTCAACAAACCAACGAGCAGCACTGTTGCAGATGAATCAGTTTGGCCTTCGTTGCCAAAATCACAGCCACCTGCAAATCCCAAGCGCACATCGACAGTCACATCACTCCAGCCAGCCGCTGACAAGCTGCCTGAGGAGGACACAGAAGTCATCAGAATGTTCCGAACACTGCTGGATGCCATGCGAAAACTGTGCAGCAGCCTGAAGTCTCCACTCGCTCAGAGTGCACTACAAGTACTGGAGGCTCTAAGTCAAGTATTTGCAAGTCTCCAGTAGCAACCATGGCTCGACCAATTTTCTCCTTCCGCAACGAGGTCCGACAAGCATCGATAATGCAGTGGAACGCGAGAGGCCTCAGATCCCGCATCTCTTCGTTCCGTCAGTATATATTCATGAATCGTATTCCTATGATAGTTATATGTGAACCAAACGTGCAACAACCTCCTAAACTATCAGGGTATGAATCTTTCGTTTCTTCAACGTGCGAGAAACGCAGCAAGGTGGTTGTTTACATTCGCACAGATTTCACATATGTGCATCATGCAGTTCAACCGCATGATGACAATCAATATGTCTGCTTACGTGTTAAAAAGGAAAAAAGTGTCATTCACACTCATTGGTGTCTACATAACACCATCCGGACGATTTGAACAAGACCGACTACGAGACATATTGACAACTACGGGCCCGTGTTTATAACTGGAGACTTCAACGCACATCACTTAATCTGGGGTAGTTCGACGATCAACGCTAAAGGAAGAAACCTCGTGTCATTCGCTCCTAAGCATGACCTATGTTTCTTAAATGATGGCAGTCCTACATACCTGCGGGGTCTTACGTAAAGCAGTTGCCTCGATTTGACTCTGGTATCCAGAAACTTCCGACCGCAAGTGCACTGGTTTTCAGACATCGAAACGCATGGGAGTGACCACATTCCAACTTATAAGGGGTCTTACTAACTCCTTTCCTAAGACCACAATACGAAGAATTGATTGGTCCAAATTTCAGCGACTCATGGAAAATACATGCCGTGAAGACCCTGACCAGAACTTGGAGGATGTCATCAAAGAGGCAATGAGGGAAGCTTCCTGTCTCCTCCCGTCCACCGGCAAGCGTTCAGATTTCGACGTTGAACTGGAAAAACTGCGCGTGCTTCGCCGAAGGGCGGAAAGAAGATACAGGCGGACGAAAGCAATATGCGACTTGAGGCTGGCACAACGCATACAGAAAAAAGTCTAACGACGTTTAGATAAACTTGAACAGAAACGCTGGAAATCATTCTGCGAATCATTGGATCCCCGAAAGTCGTTGTCACGCATCTGGAGCACTATTCGTGGCCTGCGCTCGACTCCCCAACAAAGACATCCTTTCATGGCTTTAGCCCTACATTCAGGCCACACCCAACTTGAAGTGGCAAATGAGTTTTGTACGCGAATCGCTGGTGTGTCCGCCTTGTCTGCTGGCACCATTAGGAGTGTTATCCCTGAACCCCGCATCTACGAAATGGACAATCTTTTCACTATTGAAGAACTTGACGCATCTTTGGCGGCTTCCCGACGATCATCTTCACCAGGACCCGATGGCATCACCTACGCTGCTCTAGCCAACCTTCAACAGGAGGCAAGGGGACAGTTGTTAAGCTATTACAACCACTCATGGCTTGCGGGCAATGTTCCCCAGGATTGGAAGATAAGTCGACTTGTGCCACTACTCAAAGCAGGAAAGTCACCATTTGATTTGACATCATTTCGCCCTGTTGCCCTCGCAAGTTGCGTAGGAAAAGTCATGGAAAGGATGATACTTACACGCCTAGAATGGTACCTCGAGCGCTACAACATATACCCAAACTGCCTGACGGGTTTTCGGCGAGGTAGGTCCTCTCTTGACAACGTGATTGATCTCACAACATTTATCCAGCAACAGAAGAGCCTCAAGCGCATGCCACTGGCACTCTTCCTCGACGTCAAAAGTGCTTATGGTAACGTAACACATAAAGCCATCCTAGACTCGTTAAAAGCTGTTCGAATCGGTGGTCGGATGTTCCAATGGATCCAGGATTATTTGACGAGAAGGTCCTTTTTTGTACAAACCTCAGATGGACCTACCACCAATTACTATACCTCCCGTGGCGTCCCTCAGGGCGCCGTATTAAGTCCCACTTTATTTAACCTCGTGATGGTAGGACTTCGTGAAGTTTTGCCAAGTACCATCCTCATATCCATATATGCTGACGATATTCGTCTATGGACTTCGGCTGTAACTCGTCTACAAGTACGTGCAAGAGTCCAGCAGGCTGCCACCCTGACATGCTCATATCTCCGCAAGCAAGGTCTTTCCGTCTCAACTGAGAAATGTGCATTGGTTGCGTTTACTCGCAGAGCCATGACACAATACCCCGTTACCATCAATGGACAAAATATTCCATACCAGAAGAACCATCGCTTCCTGGGTGTGATTATTGACAGGGACCTTTCGTGGAGTGCCCACTGCAATTACCTGAAGAGAAGGCTAACTTCCATCGTCCATATAATGCGGTTCCTCTGCGGAAAATCTTGGGGCGCATCGAAAAGGTCAATGATGCAGCTATACAGGGCACTGTTTCTGGGATTTTTGCGCTACAGCTTGCCGTTACTGGCAAGTACGTGCAAGACGAACATCCGCACTCTCGAAAGTCTGCAAGGACAAGCACTACGCGTGTGCTTAGGATTGCCGCGATGCCCCTCAACCTACGGGGCAATTATGATCGCAAGAGAGCATCCAATTCGAACATACATCACCACTGACAATTTGAGAGCCCACATAAGACACCTCTGCCGAGTTCCTGGTCACCATGTTGCAGTGTTGCCACTTCAAAGACCACACGCGATGTTTTCAAAGATTATTTCTGCCCATAGAGAATGCCTTTCTTTTGGCTTCACTCCAGGAACAAGACCAGCGTCACCCCCGTGGTGCCTACAACAACCACAGGTGTGCCTCACTATTCCGGGAATAACGAACAAGAGCCATCATTCAACAGTGGTCCTACGACAGGTGACATTGTCGCTACTCAACAAAAAATACGGCCAGAGGACCCACATTTACACCGATGGATCGGTCCCGGCTGACAGCTCCACAGGTGCTGTTGTCATCCCGGCGTACCAGGTCACTATAAAGCTCAAACTGTCGCATAGGACAACATCCACAGCAGCGGAGCTTGCCGCCTTACGTGCTGCTATACTTTATATCGCGGAAGCCCGACCTCAAAAATGGGCTGTGTTCTGCGACTCCAAGGCATCCCTTCAGAGCTTGCAATCAGCTTTACGACAGAGGGAGCATCAACAACTAGTGAATGAAATAAGAGAAGTGATTCACGAAGTTTTATCAAAACGACATGACTTGGTGTTCCAGTGGTTACCGGGACATTGTGGTATTGTCGGTAATGACCTTGTTGATAATGCTGCCCGATCCGCCCACGCGGACGCCTAGACAACCCCAATTCCATTGTCGAGCACCGACGCTGCAAGGGGCCTTCAATCCTTCGCTAACACCATGTCAGAAACTTGGCTGAGTGACCCCAGTGTCAGGAACCGCCGCCTACACAAATTGGACCCATCGAGAAAGCTTAAAGTTCTATCGGACCTCTCCCGCCAGGATGCAACTTTACTGTGCCGCCTGTGGTTAGGAGTAGCTTTTACAAAGGCGTACTCTTTTCTTATAGGAATGGCGGATAGCTCCCGATGTGAATCATGCGACACTGACGAGACAATAGAACATCTACTGTGTTCATGTGAACTTTTTGCGAGTGAACGCAACTTGCTACGCGAAACGTTAGAGACACTAGAAAGTAGACCTTTTTCCGAAGAGAAGATACTTGGCTCATGGCTCTACGCGTCGCTGGCCAGCAAAGCGACGCGGGCATTGCTAAGTTTTTTAAAGACGACCGAACTACGCGACCGCTTATAAGCGTGCAATGGACAAGGTCACATCTACACACACGTTGCCCTTTACTTCTCTCTCTCTTCTCCTTTAATCCCCTCACCCCTTCCCCAGTGCAGGGTAGCATACCGGACGTGCGTCTGGTTGACCTCCTTGCCTTTCATTTCTTCCCTTCCTCCTCCTCCTCCTCCTAAGTTATTTAATTTAGACCTAAATGTGATAATCTGGATAGAAAATTATTTAAAACATCGTCGCCAATGTGTTGTTTTGAATGGAAAAGCATCCAGTTATGTTGACGTGACATCAGGTGTGCCACAGGGCTCCGTTTTGGGTCCTTTGTTGTTTTTAATTTATATCAATGATATTTCGGTTGGTATCTCATCGTCTATCCGGCTTTTTGCCGATGACTGCATAGTCTACCGGAAAATTAAGAGTGGGCAGGATTCCTCCCAACTTCAAAATGACTTGGTGCCTATTCATGACTGGTGTACAACGTGGAAAATGTCTTTATATTTTAATAAGTGCATTAACCTTCATTTTTCAAAGAAGACAAAGAAGATCGAATTCAGATATGGTATAAACGGTGTGCCAATCACCACGAAGACAACTTGCATATACCTGGGTGTGTTCTTTTCTTCTGACTGTTCATTGAATGTACATGTTGATTATGTTGTCGCGAAAGCTGCGAGGGTGTTAAATTTTATTCAGCGTAACTTACGATGTTCGCATCAGCGACTCAAAGAATGTGAGTATTTGAAGTGTGTACGACCAGTCTTAGAGTACGCCTGCGCTGTGTGGGATCCGGCGCAGGTATATCTTAGTGATAAGATAGAAAAAATACAGAACAGGGCGGCAAGGTTCGTCCTGGGACGGTAAGAATGGCGGGAAAGCTCTACTGCTATGAAACAAGAATTGAATTGGGAGCTGCTTTTATCGCGTAGAAGAAAATTGCTATTAAAAATTTTATATCAAATATTTACTAATAAAACTGGAATCAATAAGGCTATGTATTTACAGACGCCGTATTATTTGTCAAATCGAATTGATCATCCTTTTAAACTGAGGGAATACCGTCCCAGGACTGGAATTTTTGCAAATTCTTTTTTTGTCAGAACAATACATGAGTGGAATGGGCTCACAAGTGTAAAAGTGTCTGCTGTAAATGAAAATTTGTTTCTTTCGAATCTGTAACCCCCCTGCTATTACGCCTTCGGGCGCTGCAGGTATACTTCGAATAAAGAATAAAGAATAAAGTTTGAGTTCACTACACCCAACAGAGCTTCACTCAATGGCAGAGAGCAGGCTGTAACGAACGGGCAAATTTCAAGGCGAGTTTCATGTGGTAATTTGCAAGAAGTCAGGACTCTAAAATAACATCATAAGATAATTTGCACCATGGACTGAAAATACAAGCCATAACATTCAAAATTCGCAAACGCTAAATAATAAGCTCTTACGGCAGTAGCAGCCACAGTTATCACTGGTTGGGCAGACTAGTTTCTGTGGCCACGCACAGTTGGGCTTTTTACAGTCTTCATCAACTGCAATAAAAAAAGAAACAATCAAAATCAGGGTAAGCTCCAAAACTACGCAACATCTTGGCAGGAACACCGCCGCTCACCATTCCTGCGGTAACTTATTTTGAAAACAACCCTTTTGTGTGGCTAGCTGTAGAATTCAGGACATGTAGTCACGCAGTTAGAGCAACTTTATGCTGCTTTATTGATCATTTTATGTTTTTAACTTCTGCACTCCGATTTATTGGGCAACAATAAACCTACTATAATACATGCTGTTTGTTTTAAAAGATCAGATATTTTTGCGATAATCTTTTTTCTGCAAAGTTTGTTAAAATGCGGTGTATATTTTGCATTCATTTCTGTGCGTTAATATTCCCAACGCAAAATGGTGAAGCGTCATCGAAGTAAAGTGTTTTTTGTTTTCAACCTAAGTGTGATAACGAAAGTTCCATCCACCTGAATGGTAAGAAATCGTACATGTTTAAACAATGTTTACGACAAACTAAACATCTGTTTCATGGAATGAATGAGTTGCCATAGTAGATTCATTCATAAGTATTTTTGTGAGGCACACATTCCTCTCATTTGTACTGCATTTTATATATGAGATTTACCTTTTTAATTTATTGCTCGAAGTTAAGAAGTATGTATTTTCTAAGTTCTTGCATTTAGGCTTAAAGAGGGGGATACACCCGTAAACAAGCAATATACTAACAATATATATAAGGAAAAAGCTCATTCTACTCTCAAAAACATTGCGCAACCAAATACTTTATTAAAGAACAAAGTAACAAAAACACAATTTTCTCAGACTCGATAAATGTTCAAAACAGCCGGATGTTCTCGTCATCTTAAACAGATCTACTCCCAGAAGTCATTTTTTTATTTGGATATTCGTGAAACATACATAACCCCTTCCTATTTCTTTAAATAGTTTTTTCTTTATAGTTTCTTGTGAGTGAGGACAAAAGCTTTTACTTAGTAATACATTACATTACCATACTCCCCCCTAACTCATTTTTGGGGGGCATGTACATTGACACTGACTTTGTTTGGAACAGTGCAGGGCATGCTGACAAAAAAACATGGCGTTTACTTACACCACAACTCATTCCCTTTCCTAACAAGGCGACCTGAAAATTTCAAATGAGAGACGTTACAAATACGTACATTTCAGTAAAACATATCCTGCGTTTATTAGAAGTGTCAAAGGCAAGAACCTCTGTATGTAATCACTGTTCCCCTTGTAATCTTGGAAATCAGTATTGTATTTAGAACAAGTAAATATATTTATGGCGCCGACGTGCTAGCATTGTGTGTAAGTACGGAAAGTATGAATGACGACACGAACAGAGGATTGAGCACACCTATACCTTCACTCCATATACACACTCTCAGTTTACATCCTGCAACAACTCAAAAATCTACAGCAAAGCGCTGCTCGCGAAATTTTCCTCATGTAGCGAGGACACATTCTGAAAATCATGATAATAATTTTCGGAAATTTCACATGAATGAAAATCACGTGTTATCTCTCTAACCTTGATTGAATCGATGGGTGTCAAATTATTCTAGGAATTCCAGCAGTATTATGGTAAGCGCTGCAACTTACATGATATAGCAGTTGTTTCAAGAAATTCGCTGATGTGCTCGGAAATGAATGAAATCGATATTTATTCCACGCCTCTATAATTACTTGTTATGTAGCCGCAGTCATGTTAAGTAATTACATCCTTCATGACAGCAATTACGAGAACCAAATTAGTAGATTTCGAGTTAGTGGAATGAGTGGTTATGGCAAATAGGTGAACAGAAATAAACTGAATGTGAGGAACTGATGGCAGCACTGAGCTCTGGAAATAACGACATGATGTAATACAGTAAAAATCTCCTCCAACTCACTTCAAGAGACCCCAGAAAAAAGTTTTAAGTGAATTTTCACTTAAAAATATGAGGTATGTTCCCTCTTGTTGCCAGGAACTAAAAATATCAGTTCTTGAACTCTAGTTTGATCAAAATATTTGCTATGCCGCGCACTCAATCGTGATTTTTCACCTAATAATCATGTTTCAAAGAATGTAGAACTATTTTGCGGCGTTTGTGTACCTAATTCTGCAGTATACATAAATTAAGTGACTGTGTTCAAGTTCTACTCAACCATGCCTAGCCGGAACCTCAGCTGGACAGCGAAAGACTATTTTTTTAAACCACATGAGTGCATACTTGGCTTCAATTATCCGTGCTCTACTTAGGAGGGTTACCTCTTTCTTCTGCATTATTTTCCCGAAATATAAGTCCGCTACAAGCTCTTCAGACGAGTCGAGCCTGTCTAAACGCCAGGGTCCCAGATGACGTAGTTCTCAAGAAGACAAAGCGCTTTGTGTGTCCAGTCCTTCGAGTAGTTTCTGGTAAATATGACATGAGAGGCATCGGATGATGTTGCAAAGCATTTTCGTCAAACAAGAATGCGTCCAGCACACACCTTAGTAAATTGAAATATGTTAGCATTGGGTCCACTTTAAATTCGCTGGTGGATTAAAAATGTTAGTAAAACTGAATAGCTGCCTTAACAGATGTTTGTTCGGGTGCTATTTTAATGTGATCACAAAATATACGATCCAAAGTGGTTTATTGGCTAAATGAAAATTAAAACATGCAGAAACTCATCTCGCATTTTGTTCTAAGATGTCCACGTTGAATGAGCTTCCTTCAATAAATCATCAGCCTACTTCCTTAGGTTGTTGAGTGGGTTGCACTTGCTATTAGAGCACACATGTTGCCAATACTTGGAACAAAGCTCAAGAATTATATCTCTTTAACTGTTGTCTTGTACATTGACGTCTTTCCGGTGGTCTGCTAGCTGCACTGATTAGTTCTTCTGTTTTAGTTTCGTGGTGTAATTTGGTTGATTTTCGTTGCTACACACAATACTCACTGGATGCCCTTAACCACCGCTGTGGTGTAAGGGTCAGGCTGTTCGGCTGCTGACACGGATGTTGTCAGTTCAATACCGGTTGTGACGATCGCATTTACATGAAGCAAAGTTGTGGATGCCCGCGTACTGTGCGATGTCAGTGAACGTAAAGCACCAGATTGTTCAAATAATCGGAATCGTCCACTACACCGCCTCTCATAATCATATCATAATTTTGGGACGTACAATCACTAATTTTATTATTATTACTGGATGGCGCTTTCATAGCTCAAAGCCACGATAGGTCTTCGGTTGAAAAAATTTGAAATATCCCATTTTGTATAACGTCTTAACACTAATTAAAAGGCTTATTATTATTTCTTTTTATTTGTGTCACTAATAACGTATTTATTAATCTTAAAATGTTTACCTTGCAAAAACGTCAGGCAACAGCAATCAAATATTGCGTTTTCCTTACTCTGAGGAAGTTTGGACATACTTCTAGAACACCTCTGTATTAATTACTTGGTGGATCTTAAGTTGAAGCTATTGTGGCCCACTACATGTCAGTTCGACTGAGCAGAAGTGGTGAGCCAGATAAAACTAACCCCATTAAGGAACTAAACCAAGAATTTTTCTTCTCGTAATTTTTGTTCTAAAGAACACCTGCACTAGTAATGAGGACCTGTCGCAGAGATCTTTGTGCAAGTGTCATCAAAAGAAATGGTTCCTCTAACAGCAGACAATGTCTTTCAATAGTAACAGTATCGCACTATTTTTGCTTCCTGATATATTTTGCAGCATATAGTCAAGCCAAAAAGAAAAATAAACTAACGGCGCCGCCTTATCCGAAAAGGGGATGATGTGAGGAGCTTGCTCGGAGGTGCACGTTTTTTTTTTGAAAACTCTTTCTGTTGGAAGGTTTTTTAACAAGCCTGCGCATGATGTGTACGTTGGAGGCAGCGTTGTGAGGCACGTTCCACGGCTGTGACTGCGCAGTGTTTGCCATGTCAACGGTCACGTTAACCACCTGTCTCTTTATGCCATACTGGCCAGTGCCTTGAGTCAAAGGCCTAACGCTCATGAATGGCAGACGTGGAGCTACCAGGCGTCTTTCAACAGGGTTTATAGCAGACAGGTGAGGGAGCTTAGTGGATATCGGTACCCGTGCATAACACTTATCGTAGGAACTTGCCATGTGCTGCCGTGGTTACGAAGCGACGAGAACGGAGTAGATGTAGTCGCGAGAAAGCGAGTGCACAGGCCACCGAAAAGTGACGCCTGAGTGGTGGCGTGCCATCTAGTGAGCATTATTCAAATCACTGTGGAGACGACCGAAGAAATGTACACTAGCAACACTGCTGTGCACAATGACGCCGCTAGGCAGGGCCATGAGCATAAGAAGCTTGCCGAGCATCTTCTAATGTATAGAAAACAATAATCTCTGAAAGGAAAGAAAGTATATATACATAGAACGAGAACAAAAAGAAGCCGTTCTGTTTCACCTTCTATTTGTACTAGGAAGACACGCCAGCAACGCTGATCTTTCTGATTTTGAATCACCATTGCTTTCCGGAATTTATTTATTAGAAATCGATACTACGGAGTAAAAGTTTGTTCATTCAAATTCGAAAGAGATTTTGAAATGTTCAAATCATGCGCACTCTAATTGAGTAGGTGGGTGCTAGAATGAGCAGATATCACGCCACACTTCTCCCACAGAACCCCTATTAAGACACCTCTTGGCTTTCTATTACGAATCAGGTGTTACTACACGTTTTTGCTCACTGAACTCGTGAATGAGACTCGTCGAGCTTTAACAGTAAATACAGGTAATTTATCTGTTAGTGATGTTCTAGAACCAAGCCACTAGATGCATTCATGAGAGCTATCAGTGATGATGACGAGTTATATCAAACTGTTTATGCTCCAATACGGTTTCCTTTATATAGAAGATTTCACACATCTAGAAATAATGATATTGAGCAGTTTGAGTATGCTTGCTCTTCTTCTGTGACGGCATCTTTACTATCATTTGCAGCTTCCCCAAGATCTTCAGTGCAGCGTCAAAATTTTTATTTGAGAAGAAATATCTCGAATTTTATTTGCTTGGTTTCCCAACAAAATTTGCTCACCCTGGGCCGACTTCTGCGCGGAGTGATGAAAGCCAGGGCGCTCGCTGTTAAAGTTAACTGTTGTGAGGTTTAACCTCATAAATATACTTAGACAGTGCTGGAACAAATGCATCAGCTTAAATCAACTGTAAGTTTATATCAAACTTTGAGTTTGAAAAACAATGTTTTACTGCAATAAATTGTGAACTTAATGCTTATCAAGTTATGCAGTGAATACACTTGCCTTTTGTCAAGCAGGGGACCAACAATAGGAGAAAAAAGGCCAAGGCGTGATGAACTCCCAACATTTCTGTCTTTCTGATATTAGATAGCCTATTTGAAAAACAAATGAAGTTTGTTTTATTTATTATAATACTTGTTTATATTATAATTGATTGTTGTCTTGGTGCAAGATAATGAAGGCGATCTTAAAAATAACTTGACTACTGCTCTAGAGTCATACTGTTTAATTGGTGCACACTACAAATTCACTGAAAATAAAGTGCAAGCAACAGCAACGTTGAAAGAGTAGAATAAAAGTGATAAAAGATAACAGATATGAGGGAACACAAGCAGATAGGTTCGCGTGGGCAAAATTTATTCCTAAAACAAAGAAAAAATTTTGGCAGATCCCACGCATAGTGGGAATCGATGATATGCGAAGCACGAAGGAGAAATGTTGATATGTCACTTTAAATTCAGCCCAACGTTACGAGATGGGAGTAAATGATGCCGTACATGAATTCCATGTCATGATTATCATGTTTGGATGTCTTGTTTACGTTCGTCATGTGTCCACGTCACCTGATACCAAATTTAGTATATGTGGAGCTAGCCAAACGGCCGAGAGCATGCTATGAGCGTAATATGTTGTCATGTTCTTACATACTACGCGTGCCAGGATTATCATGTGTGCACCTGTTATATATTTCGTCATTCATTGACGTTACGTAACACCAAATTATGTGTATGTGCAGCTAGCAAAACGGCCACGAGCGCATCTTGAAGGGGCCAGTTTACTCCAATGTTGCGTTTACGCACGCACACGCTTGGAACAGTGACGCTAGGTTATCAAAATGCGAAAACTCTATAGTCTGACGCCAGG